AATATTTTGTCAAAAAATAAATTGCTCAAAACTTTTATTTAGAGTACTTTACAATATAGTTTATAAAGTATTTAAGTTGCTTGCTTTATTTATTGCTTATATCAATTGACAAAATTAGATTACTAGTTAAAATCAAATATAACGACCTTGTTGATATGAATCAATTATCAATTATGGGTGCTGTATATTATTTGATGTATCAACAGTTATGTTTACATCTCATATAAGTTTACTATTTGTTAACAGAGATATAAAATATACTGTACACTCTATGCCATAGAGTCTATGGATATTAAAGTGTATTAAAATAAATTCATATCAAAAATATTAGTTTGTATTTATTATTTGCAATGAAAAGTGATATACAAAATAGTTTTGTTGTGAGATATAAAATATTTTCATTATTAAAATGCATATAAAACATCAGTTTTGTAACAAAATTCACCCATAAATGGCTCGTTATGTAACGGATAGAGAGGAGGGGGTGTCCGGCGGTGACGGCGGGTGTGGTGTGGGCTCGTGTCGGCCCCAATGGCTGCAATCGTGGGCTACGGCCAAGATGTTTGTGTTTGTATTAGGCCTGACAACTATACTGCAGGGGGCGTCGTATCGGTATATGATAGCCAGCGTCACAACGCTTGAGAAACGGTACGCCTTCGGGAGCCTTATGTCGGGATTTATACTCATCGGAGACAACATTAGCGAAATGACTGTTCAACCAGTGCTCGGCTATTTGGCCCATCGCCTACACCGGCCCCGACTTATCGCCTGGTGCCAGATCCTGGTGGGTCTGGGCCTGTATTTGGCTGCGTTGCCCTATTTTATATACGGTCCGGGCGTTCACCTCTTGGACAGTAGCGCCGGTGTCGGCAGTATTGGTAATAAATCCGTAGAGTTTTGCGATGTAAACAGAAATATTGATGAGGACTGTGCCCGGGATGCCGGTGCCAACAGCTCCATGACTTTGGTGGCCGTGTTTTGCCTGTTTATGTCAATGTTTTTTAATGGTTTCGGTTCCGCCGCTTACTATAGCATTGGTATACCGTTTATTGACGACAGCGTCGAGAAGAAAAATTCACCAATTTATATAAGTTAGCAATTATTGATGTAACATGTTTGTTTGACAGTTGTTGACTAGTGTTATTTATTAGGTTTGTCGGCGTGTATGCGCTTAATGGGTCCGACACTCGCCTACTCCATGTCCTCATATGTATTGACTTTATATGAGAATCCCTTGAGTTTAGTATTGAATTTTGTTTAAAAAGTTTGAGTTTTATTTATTAATTACTGCTATTAATTAGTGAATCCTGGCATATCAACTAATGATCCACGGTGGTTAGGCGCGTGGTGGATTGGTTTTATAATTTTGGCCACGTGTATAATACTGTGTAGTTTACCGTTATTTCTGTTTCCCAATCAACTCATACCACCGGCAACTAGTGAACCGGCAAATAAGACCAGGAAATTGAAAAATCCGGCGTCTGATTTAAAAATGGGTATAAATCTTATCATGACACAACATACTTACAATATAATATACACTTACTTTGTAATACAATAGACTTGTGGTCTCGTTTGATGCGTTTGGCAAACAATCCCATATATGTATTCATACTAATTGGCACAACTATACGATTGCTGGGAGTGTTAGGGTATATGACATTCAAACCCAAGTATATTGAGGCCCAGTATAGGAAGTCCGCCTCCACTGCCAACCTATTCTCAGGTATTAATTAGTTTTCAAATTAATTTTAAAAATAATTATAATAATTTTAATTCATTAAGGTATTATTGGTATCGTTCCCTCTGCTATTGGTATACTAATTGGTGGAGCGTTTATAACGTATTTAAAACCCGGGGCTAAAGTGTTGACCGTATTTGTAATGTTAGTGGAGATATTAGGCAATGCAGGAATGTTTGGCGCATTTTTTCTGGGCTGTCCCCCCGCACAGTTCGCCACAATTCCCGCACATACTATCAAGTAATAGTAAACTACCTTGTTTCACATAATTTATAATTATGTTTGAAATAACCACTAGCTTTGAGAATACGTGCAATTCAAACTGTGCATGCACAACCCAACGATTTATGCCCATATGTGGCCCTGATAATGTTACCAATTATTTTTCACCCTGTTTTGCCGGCTGCGATTCAAACTCGATCATAAAGTCTATCAATGGACCAAATGTATGGCTAAATAAAATTTTATGCAAAATTATTAATTAAAATTTTTAAAAATAATTAATAGCAATACTCGTCGTGCGGTTGCATTGACAGAGGAGGCGGTGGAGGTGTGGCCACAGAGGGCTACTGTCCCACTGATTGTGGCAACAATTTTGAGACATATGTAACATTGTTTGGTATCAGTAATTTAGTGGGCACTCTGGCCCGCACTGGCAATGCTATTATTGGGTTTAGGTATTTGACCCCTTAATTTAGTCATTACATTAAACTGTAGAAAAAAGATACTCATAAATTATTAATTTTCACATAAAATAACCTAGAATTGTAGACAAGGTGGACAAAAGTTTTATGATTGGTGTTAGCGGCGCTATTCACAGCATATTCGGTATTTACGTTTTTTTATTAAAAAATTATTTTTTAAAATTAATCTAACCCAGGTAATACTTTCCCATAGCATTCATACCGTACCCCCTGGTGTACGGAGCGGTGGCCGACGCCTCCTGTAAGGTATGGGAGTCCAAGTGTGGGGGAGAGAGGGGTAACTGTTGGGTATACGACACGGATCTGTTCAGACAATATATGCACGGCTTAACAATCATACTGTATATCATTGCCTCACTCTTTGATGTATTGGTTGTTTGGTTTTCGGCCAGAATTACAAACCTATACACCGATGAGACCGACGACCAGGACTTTGATTGATAATAATATTGTTTTATAATTTTCATTACAATTAATAAATATATTTTCTAATAAATATTTGTTGTTGTTGTAATTAATTGATGTTTAGTTAATTCCGCACAATTTGCGATAGCTACAATTGGACCGCTTTTGTGCCGTAGACTGTTAGTAGTATTGTACAAAATAATTATGCAATAATTATTGATAAATCAATTTCAAATAATTTTGTAAGTACAACTAGTACAAAAAGAGTACAAATAGTACAAAAAGTATGAATTCAAATACTTTTTTTTACAAAAGTAGATTTGATAAATAAAAATATAATATTTTATCATTAATTTACAATTGAAATCAATTTCATATCAATTGTCATATACACTACGTTCAATAGGTATTTAACCAAACGTTTGGTATTAGTACAGAGATATTATTTAAATGCAAACTTTTCACTGTTGTATATTTTAATTATCCAGTTATTAATCGCATTAAAGTATTTTCTAAAATAATAATCAGAGAAGGGAGTGTACTCCTAACTGAATAGAGTAAACAATCTTAGATACAGAATCCAGAAGTATATGCCAACTGCTCGACCATTATATTATAATGTGTTAAACTGTATAACATTGTACTAATTTAGTATTTCTGAACTATAGTATACCTTTATAACTTGTATTAACCAAAATTAATTTTACAATACATGTAACACTAATAAGATAAAATGATGGAAAATATTTTTATTAGTTATACTACTTAATAATCATTTGCTTATTATATGATAGTACAATTAACACTACAATAATAGTTTACTCCTTGTAGTCCCATAATAACTATAGACAAGACTTGGATGCATTCTGGATGCATTATTCACAGAAAAAAATAACTTTAGATACAAGTAATGTTTGATTCATTGCTTTAAACACAACTTTAATCATTGAAATTAAGCTACTGTTGAATGCATTGTGTATAAGAGTTAAGAAAATGAATTCAATTTTATTTTTATTTTGCACAAAAAATTACTTTTTTCTGTGACTAATGCATCCAGAATGCATCCAAGTCTTGTCTATAATAATAACTTACCCTATTGCCTTTTTTGCTAAACACTATCACAAATTTTATATTGGCAGCAATAAAAGCACAGAAAACATATAAAAGTAAAAGTGATTTGAAATAAAAAATATTTTCATTTAATGTTTGTAAAAATGTATAATTTTTGACATTTATTTTGTATAAAAATTATTAATAAAATATTAGAATGGAAGTGACTGATGGCTTGGTTACCATACCATCGCCATGGGATCGAGTAAATATATTTTCAAAACTTACATTCAGGTAATTTATTAGCACTTTTTAAGCAAATTAAATGATAATATATTTATTATATGAATTAGTTGGGTGTGGAGTCTATTCATTCGGGCGCACAAAAAGGATCTCGAGTTCAGTGATCTCTACCGCTGCCCAAAATCAGATGAGACACATCGGGTCCGAAATAAACTGGAAATGTAACATAATTTATATAAAACATAGATTTTTGATTAATATTAAATTAATGAAAATATAATTTTTTGTGTGTATTTGTATAGCAAATGGGATAAACAATTGAAAAGTAAAGGAAAGCCATCGCTATTTTGGGCACTCTTTGCATCGTACGGACCCGAACTTATTGTCCTATATATTCCTGATGCAATCAGGGTAATAACATTTATTAAATAAAATGTGGTGCAATTTTAGTTATAATAATAATTTATATAACTTTTAACGTAACTAAAAGTAATTCCAACTTTTATTTACTAATTGGGGTTTAAAACCAGGAATTGGTATTAAATTTGTTGCAACCATTTTGCATTGCTTATTTGGTGAGATATTTCAACAAGGATAAAAATACCAACCAGGAATGGGCCATATGGGCAGCCGTGGGTATTATGTTGGCCGCTTTAATTAACATGTTTATCACTCATGTAAATGGCACTCTTAACATTAAAGTGGGGGTTAGGATACGCGCCGCCTGTTGTGCCCTAATTTACCGCAAGGTTTGTCTCATAAGAGTATAAAATTTTGTAACTTTTATTATATATTTTTAAATGTATTTAAATAAAGTCAATGCGTTTAAGTCACTCATCACTCGGACAGACAACTGTTGGCCAGATATTGAACATTATGTCCAACGATGTCAACAGATTTGATGAGGTATTATAGCAAAAATTATTATTTTAATAATTAGATATCAGTATATTTAATATGCATTTAAACTTATAATTTTTAAAACATATTTAAAAGTAACTATTTTTATTTGACTATAGTTTGCATTAAATTCGCGATCTTTATTTGTGGCGCCACTGCAGGCGGCGATTGTGTTATACCTGTTGTGGCCGTACCTGCGGTGGGCGTGTTTGGCGGGAATGGGAATACTTGTGCTGTTTATACCATTTCAAGTACTAATGGGTCGTATGTTTCGGAGTATACGCCAAAAGACCGCCGAATTAACCGACAGTCGAATCCGTTTAATGCAAGAGATTATCGCCGGAATGCGTGTCATAAAGATGTACGCCTGGGAACAGCCCTTCGCACAGTTGGTCGCAACCGCTCGCAAGTAATCACACAAATAATATAATTGATTTTATATAATATGTAAAATAATATTATTATTTACTTTAACACCAATGGGTGGCTTAATAATCATATACACTTTAGTAATGTTATAATTGAATATATTTTTAATTAAACAAATAACATGAATAATAGGAGTGAAGTAAAACACATCCGATCGTCAAACTTCTTGAAAGGCATTAACCTTTCGGTGTTTTTTGTAATATTACGGCTTATAGTCTACGCGTGTTTTGTCACATATATACTGATGGGAGGGGTGTTGTCGGCGGAGACAGCCTTTGCCACAATTGCCTACTTTAATGCCATGCGTTGGTCAATGGCTAAGTTTGTACCCCTCGCTATTGCTGCACTAAGTGAGCTGATCGTGGTGATCAAACGGATAGAGGTAATTATTATATTGTAGTTTTGACGTAAATAATTGTTTCAACATTTTAAAAATTATAGGATTTCTTATTACTTGAAGAGATTAGTAATTTAGACGAGAAAATAGAAATGAACGACAAATTCATTTTGAATGAAAATGAGATTCAAATGGAAAACACTTTTAGTGAAGAAAAGGGTGTTTTTATGGACAAAATGAGCGTTCGTTGGAATAATGTATGAATTCTTTGATGTCTTTCAACACGTGTTTAGAGTTTTATGAATACATTAGGAGTCGACTAAACCCACGCTTCGGGACATTAGTCTGAGTGTAAAACCCGGACAACTGTTGGCTGTCGTTGGATCAGTTGGCAGTGGAAAGGTATACAATAAATAATTTTATAAAATAGCAATTAATATTAATTATGAACAAACATATGAAGAGTTCACTATTAATGGCAATACTGAATGAGATATCGCTAGTGTCGGGTCGAGTGGTAGTGAGGGGTCGGGTGTCGTACGCGCCGCAGGAGTCGTGGGCTTTCATAGCGAGAGTTCGACAGAATATTTGGTAGTGAGGGGTCGGGTGTCGTACGCGCCGCAGGAGTCGTGGGCTTTCATAGCGAGTGTTCGACAGAATATTCTGTTTGGCTCTCAATATAATGAAGAGAAATACAATCGAGTGGTGAAGGCGTGTGCTTTGGATCGGGATTTCAAACTCTTCCCATACGGAGACCAAACTCTAGTCGGCGAAAGAGGAGTATCGTTAAGTGGGGGCCAAAAGGCCCGCATAAGTCTGGCCCGGGCTCTGTACCACTCGGCAGACATCTACCTCTTGGACGACCCCTTGAGTGCTGTCGACACACATGTGGCCAAACATCTCTTCCAGAAGTATACTACATAATTGCAATGAAATATTTGTTAATGTGTTTCCCATTTATCAGATGTTGTGTTGAGTATTTGAAAGACAAGACCAGGGTTTTAGTGACCCATCAAATCCAGTTTCTCAGAGACGCGCATCAAATACTTGTGCTCAACGACGGCGAGTGTGTGGCCATCGGGTCCTACAATGAGCTCAAAAAGCGCGGCATTGATCTCATGGCATATCAAAGACAAACCGATGGAACAAATGATAGGAGAGATATAAAAAGAAGGACATCTTTCACACCATCGATGGTCTCATCCCTTAGTGAGGGATCGGAAGTGACGGACGTTAGGGAACCGATAGAAGTGGACGAACAGGAAGTGAAGGCCGAACTCAAAATGATTGGATCCGTTGAGTCCACTGTTTATATGGATTACATTAAAGCCGGCGCCGGACCTCTGCTCATAGCTTTAACCGTATTGTTTATTATTATTTCACAAGTTCTCTATCAGGGAAGCGATTATTGGTTGAGTTTATGGTTAGAGATTCTATCATATTTTTCATTAATATTAATTTTAATTTTGAAAAAATAATTTAGGACCAATCAAATGAGTCAAACCCCTAAGGAAGTGGATCAAACATTCAATATAATAATCTACACGAGTTTAATCAGTGGTCTGTTTGTGTCGGCCCTGTTGTCCACCATTTGTTTCTACATAATGTGTATGAGATCTTCGGTTAATCTTTATAACCGAATATTCTGTGCGTTATTGCGATCACCGATACATCTGTTTGAGAGTTCGCCTATTGGTAACACTTTTAACACTATTTGCTATCTTTTTAATGATTAATAAATGAATTTATTTGATAATAATTTTTAGGACGAATACTAAACAGGTTTTCAAAAGACACGGGAATTGTCGACGAATTGCTGCCATCGGTTGCTTTTGACTTTATTATTGTTAGTATTAATTATATCGTAAATAATGATAGTTATATTGAATGCGCGCAAACGATATTATATTTAAGTCCCGTTTATTCTTAAGATAGTTAACTTAAACCACTGCTCTATTTGCCATAATTATCAACAATTATCTTAAATTCTGTCAATTTTCAATTTTATAATTCAAGAAATAACTAGTTTTTAAAACAAAATCTTAAAACACTTTCTTATTTATAGCTTCTGTGTCTTTTTGATTGTAATTCCCGCACAAATATTGAAACCAATTGCAATCACGGGGCATATTTATGCTGAATGAACTTATATTGCTCATATTTCACGTATATTCATTATTTCCCAAATTTTTGATCTATAATTTTGGCAAACACTGATTAATCAATTTTGTTAGAATTATAACATCTAATGTGTACAGTAATTGTAATTTTGGTCATACTTGATATGAAATTATTTTTTATATGAAATTAAGCACAACATTAAATTGTTATAAGTTTTTTCTAGATCATTATCTAGATCTAGATCTAGATCATTAAAATGTATAATATTATTCTTTACTTTATAGAATACATGTTTTATTATCGGAAGTCTAATACTGAATGCAATCGTCAGTTGGTTTCTGATATTTCCGGCAATAGTTTTGTTGATATTAGTGTTTATGTGCCGTTATTTCTATATCAAAGCCGCCCGTGATATCAAACGTATGGAAGCATTGTGTATGTATTTAATATCATATGGTATAATAAATTAAATTATATTTTATTAATTCATTAACTATTATAATTGATCTTTCACTTACTGAATAGCCCGGAGTCCGGTGTACTCTCACGTGAACACAACGCTGTGTGGGCTGACATCGATCCGTGCGTTTGGCGCACAGCATATGTTTGAGCGTCAGTTTGAAGTCCACCAAAACGACAACACCTCTACTTTTTTCCTATTCATCTGCACTTCACGAGCACTCGGAGTACTAATGGACACCATTTGTCTGGTTTATGTTAGCGCTGTTATCGCTTATATTATGACCAATAGTGACAGTATGTCTATAATTAATTATTTGATAACATATTGTAAAATGTTTTACTTTTAAAAAGGTATTCCCGGAGGAAATGCTGGTCTTTTGTTGACTTCTGGTAAGAATATAATAACTATCATAAATTACATTTAATTAATATCATGATCATAATTTTATAAAGCTTTACCGTTGACTAATTTGATTCAATATTGTGTAAAACAATCGGCCGATACTGAATCCTATATGACTGCTGTCGAGCGAGTCCTAGAATACACAGCCATTAAACCCGAGGCAGAGCTCGAGTCCACTCCCGATCGGAAACCACCCAAAGATTGGCCACAAATGGGAAAAATAGTGTTCAAAGATATGAGTCTTCAATACAACGAATCGCCGCATAAAGTGCTCAAAGATATCAATGTTTGCCTCAAAGGGGGAGAAAAGGTGGGAGTCGTGGGCCGGACGGGCGCCGGCAAGTCGTCCATCATTGCAGCCCTCTTTCGACTCACAGAACCTTTAGGATAGATATTGATAGACGGGGTGGACATCAAGACTATTGGTTTGCATGACTTAAGGAGTAAGATATCAATCATACCTCAGGAACCGATGCTCTTCACGGGTTCTTTACGTAAAAATTTGGATCCTTTTGACGAACACCCGGACGACGAGCTCTGGTCGGCTCTGTCTGAGGTACAGCTCCGGGATGTCGTGCAGTCAATGCCGGGACAGTTGGATGGAGTGGTTCGCGAAGGGGGCAGTAATCTGAGTGTAGGTCAGCGCCAATTGGTATGTCTGGCGAGAGCTATACTACGAGACAATCGGATACTAGTGTTAGACGAGGCGACC